TTTTTTTTTTTTTTTTAAACATAATATGTTTAAAAAAAAAAAAAAAATTAATTCAGAGAAACGCCTACATAAGGAATAATATTAATTTTTTAAAGTTATATATAAAGTTAATAAAAATATTTTTAGTTTTATTTAATTGAAAAAAAATTTATAAAGTATAAAATTCAATTTTTGTATATATTTATTTTTTATTTTTTTCTTCTTTTTTTTTTATGCTTCATATAAATATATATAAAAAAACCACAAAAAAAAAAGATTAATGTTACATATACAAAAAAAATAAAACTTGAAATGATTTCAAAGGAAAACGTTTCATCTGAATATATAGACTTTTCGATTTCAAAAGAAAATGATATTTTAAGGGAAAAAATATTAATAGACCTGAATGATAAGAATGATGATAATATAAACAATGAAAATAAGAAAAATATGAGTATTAATCAAATACATAAGTTTATAAATAAACTAAAAAATACAAATGTAACAGATTTAGAGAAAAGTGATTTTAAAAATTTACAAGATGATATAAAAAATTTAAATATAAGTAAATATTTAAGTGAGATTTTAAATTATATTTTTAACTTAACATATCACGTTAATAAATACTCAGATATTTTTCTTCTCATAAATATAATTAAATATATAAATAAGAATTATAGTAACGTAGAAGAACTTATTGAAAATATAGCATTCATGAAATTTTTTAAGTTGGACGAAAATGATAAAAATTATTTTTTCATTATATTCCATGATTTATATAATAATATTCATGAAGATAATATTATAAGTAAAAATATAAAAGTAGAAAATTCTCCCAATGATAAAGATACAAATAAAGAAAAATTGTCACATTTAGTTGATATTAATAATGCAGAAAAAAATTATAATAATATTAATAAAGAAAGTGAAGAAATAAATAGTATGAAAAATCTAAAAGAATTAAAAGATAATCTCTTTAAGAAATTAAATTCTTATATTTGTAAAGATAATCAAGAAAATGATAATTATTTATTTGAATATGATCTTTTTGCTAGTGATAAAAATATAAAGTTTCAAAAAAAAAATTCTTTTGATAAAAAAGCTTATATGACAGAAATTCTTAATGATAATAATCTTATGAAAAAAATAGAAAAGAAAAATAAATTAAGAAAAACATTGCTATGTATGTATTTCGAATTAATTTTATTTAATATATGTAAAAATAAAGAATTATTACTATATATGTTTTTAAACATAACTTTTTTTTTTACATTAAAATTTGACTTTCACATTTCTGATAAAGATAAAATAAATAACAATGAAAAAAAAGAGTTAAATTACTCCAATTATTCCGATATATTATCAAGTATAAAAAAATATTTAATTGTGAATACAGTCATTACCTATGATTACTTTTTTACAAATTCTAATACATTACTTATAGATAAAAATTTAAAAGAAAATTCTGAAAGTGTAAATAATAGAGAAAGTATAAATAAAGAGGAAAAGGATATTATGCAATGTGTTAATAATAACAATAGCATAATAAGTTCATGCGTAAAATATATAAATGACATAAAAGATAATGTTATGAAATTTTTTAAAGTATTTTATCATTGTAGTATGTATAATTTGTTGATATACTTATATACAGAACATGTCGTAAAAGAATATAGTAGTAATAACAAAAAAAGCTTTTTAAATGAAGAATATGAATTTTTTAAAATATATGAAAAAAGTAAAAAATTTTGTAAATTTTTCAATTTAAAAAAATATAGTTTGGATGAAATTCAAATAAAAGGAATTGATATATTGGGATTAAAAGAAGAAAGTTTCAATCATATAAAAATTTTTGATAATATAAAAAACAAAAATGAAAAAGAGAAAGAAATAATAATCGATGAATCAAATACAGTATGGAACAATGACGAAGAAAAATCTTTTTACACAAATTTCCCTGATTATTCTAATTTAAATATTTGTTTAAATGATGATGATTATGATGACGATGATATTAATTTAAGTTATTCAAATGAGAATATTATAAATGACATGATTTATAATCAACCTAATAATAGTAATATTTTAAAAAAAGACAGAGAATTAGATGAAAAGGTAGAAAATAAAGTTGCTAATGACAATATTAAAAAGGAAAAATCATTTGAGAAAAAAATTGAACTTAAAAATATAAGTAATAATGATAATAAAAAAAATGTAAAAAGTGTAGCATTTGGAAACAGTAAAGAAAAAAAGAAAGAATTTACTAATTATCTTGAAAAAATAATTAATATGAATAATGAAAAGGATGTAGAAGATTATGTAATGATATTTTTATTAAATTATAATACCAAAAAAAAAAGAAAAATAATAGCTAACACCATTATTCACATTAATAAAATAAGTTTAAATTTGATTCCTTATTATTGTAGATATGTTGCTATTATAAATAGATACGTAAAAGATATATATATAACTATTAATGAAGAATTAAAAAGAATTACTGAAAAAATAATTAAAGAAAAATTACCATGTCAAAATAAGAAAACTAAATGTATCAAATATGCATGTGAATTAACGAAATTTAAATTATTAGATTTATCATATATATTAGATATTATAAATTTATTAATTGAAAATTTTACTTCTGATCATGCAGAGCTATGTTTTTTTATTTTGGAAAATTGCTCTCTATTACTATTAAATAATTCTAAGACACATATCAGATTTTTAAATCTTTTACAAAAATTAAAAAAAATTAAGAATTCAAAAAATTTATCATCCTCATTAGAATTAGTTTTTGAAGAATGTTGTATAAAAATTGATAATTTCATTACAAAGAATAATATAACAAAAAAAAAAATCTCTAAATACTCTGATGAAGACTTAAAAAAAAAATATTTTCTAAAAAAATTGTTATTTCAAGATATTGAAACTGTAGATACAGAAATTATATGTAAGTATATAAGAAAATTTAACTGGAATGATAAATTGATCACCCATTGTTTAAAAAAATATATTTTTAATTATTTAATGCATATGAGTATCTATAAAATAAATAATTTAGCTTCTTTATTGTTCAACTTAGCTAAGTATAAACCATTTTTTGTAACTCAAATAATTGATGAATTATATGAGAGAATTATTACTATACTTGAGAATAATGATTTTATCAAGTATACATTTTTAATTCAATATACTCATTTATTCGCAGAGTTATATAATTATAAAATATTAAATTCTTCTAATGTTTTTGATTTGCTATATTTTTTAATATCAATCGCAGATATTGATATATTTAATTCTCATCATATTTCTTCTATTTACAAAGTTTATAAAGAAAATAAAACATTTATTGAATCTTTAAAAAGCAATATAACAAATTTAAATAAAAAAGAAAATGGGATAGTAACAGAATTAGAAAACGAGAATAATAAAGTAGATAATGAAAATAATGATGAAAATCATAGAAATCATAATAAATTTGAGAAAAATACAAATAATTCTAATATCAATAAAGAAGAATTTTTTTCTTATGATGACTATAATGATAACTTTTATAAATTTTTATTTATAAATAAAAGGAATCCTATATTTTATCATATTTTTCATGATATGGAAAATAATAGTTTTATTAATATCAAAATGATATGTATAATAATAGAAAGTTGTTCAAGATATTTTCATACCCCTTTATTAAATTTTAAGTTAAGTAAATTTTTTTTATTTTTTATTCGATTTTTATTGTTACTAGAACCATTACCTATGTATATTAAAAACATAACTGACCATATTATTGAGAAGAATTTTGAGGAAATGAAAAATTTGAATACAATTAAAGAAATTGATAAATATTTGTTTAAAATACTAAATGCCGAATACAAAATACATTTAAATCAAATAAATAAAAATATTAAATATTCAGTACGGGATAGTGATTTAACATTTACTATAGAAAAATGTAATAAAACAAAAGATTCAACATACAGTAATAATGAATTTATAAAAACAAATAAAAATATTAGCAACAATGGGGAAGAATGTACTAAAATGAACGATTTGATAAAAGAAGAGAAAAAAAATAGTTTGTCAATTTATGAAAATAAAAATGATAAAAAATATAACAATAAGGAGAAAACAGAAAACAATGGTTCTTTAATAACAAAAAATAAAAAAAAGTTGACTAGTTCATTAGAAAATTACGATATAGAATATTTTAATTCATCAAGTGATGAAAATAATAGAAAAGTTAAAACAATGGAAAATGAATTAGACGAAGAAATTAATGAAATAATTAATGCATCAATAAAAGAAAACAGATTATCAAAAAGTAAAGAAGTAGAACCTGTAAATTTTAAGAATATTACTATATATAGTAATTTGTTAAATAAAAAAAATATTCAAAATAATCATATCATAAAAATAGATCCTGCTTCCATTAAAAAAAAGGAAAAACAAAAAAAATAAAAAGTAACAACGAAGAAGATAATAAACTTTTTTAAAAAATAATAAAATTTTTTATACAACTTATATATAAATGTAAAAATATATATGGTAAATAAAAAATAAGAGAAGCACTAGTTAAATAAAATGAATAATATTAAGGATGCATTAATATTTGCCATAATTAAAAAAAAAAAATAATATAATGATAGATAGGAAAAGAGAAATGAATTAAACTTTTTTATGAAGATAATCCAAAATGTATAAGGTTTATATATATTATAGGATTAATTAAAGGAAAATTATATATATATATATATTTGCTTTTATCTGTAAATTCACATTTATTTTTATGCTGCTTTAAATTATTATAAAACTTATTTTTTTCTTGTAAATTTTTTCATTTATTTTAATATTTGCACTTCTTTATATTTATTTACGAAATACGGTTATATTTACTCATATTTTTATAAGAATCTAAAAGGTACATGACATTTATGAAGTAATGTTGTTAACCATATGATATTGACATCCTTTCATATTTATTATTAACTTTAAAATATTTTCATATTTGTTTATTTAAATAAAAATATAATTTTTTTTCATTCATTTCAGAATTTCCTTATTTTTTTGTTTTTATATATGGAAATCTTCTTTTCCTTATTTTTCTAATATCATATTTTAAAAATATCTGATAAAAATAATAAAATTAGGTTCCTTTTTCCTTTTTTTTTTTTTTTTAATAGAATATCTTGATTAGGCAAAATATATGTGTATACAAATAATATGTAACACTAATAATTAACAGTATCAATATTTAATAACTCATTAATAAAAGTTAGTAAACAAAAAAAAAACTAAGTAAATAATAATATATAATAATATAAATAATTGATAACTTAATAATATTAGAAATTTAATTAATGCATGCCTATTTCCTTTTTATAATTAATAAAATTTCTGTTATATATATATATATATATATATTTTTATGAATTAATATATTTTTACTAATTACCTAATTGAGTTTATTCTTTTTCTATTTAATTTATATTACTATTTTATTTTTGAATTTTTATATAATTGCATGCAGCTTTTTTTTAAAATATATATTTATTTTTACTAGTACTTGTACTTTTTTTTTTGATGAAAAGTTGAGAATCTTTAAAAAAAAAATTAAAATAAATAATTATAATTAAACTAAAAAAATAGAATAATTTTATTAAAACATAGAAAAATATATATTGTAATTTTTAATTAATTATACTAAATATTTTTATAATATAGTAGATGCAAATCTTTTAATTTTTTTTTTTTTTCATAGCTCATTATAATAAATTTATAATTCTAAACTATTTTACTATATTTATAAATCTAATATATTTAATTAATAATTAATTTGATTTTTTAAAAAAAAAAACAAGAATATATTTATACCTTATATATTATAATTTTGAAAAAATGATAAAATTAATTTTCTATATTTTTTTATTAATGTCATATGTAGTCATAGGAAAAAATGTAAGAAATAAATTTTTAAAAAATAATTTTTATTAGTATCCAAAAAAAAAAAAAAAAAAAAAACAAATACTTATATATAAATATACATTGATATAATTAAATACAAACAATTTTTTTTTATTTTTCTTTTAAATATTGAAGGACGGAAACTTACGTGTTATTACTAAAAATATAGATTTGAAATCATTACAAGGAACATTTTATGAAATAGCTATAAATACTACGGATAAAATATTTTTAGGTTTAGCATGCAGATGCACAAAATATGAATTTTCAGGTTTAAAAAGAGATGGCAATCAAGCTTACATATTAATGAATTTTACGTGTGATAGGAATTTTTTAATTAAAGAAGAAAAATCAAATGTAAATTTTAAATTAATTTTAAATAAGCCTTTAGATGAAAATACAACAACTGTAGAAGAATTTGATGCAAGTTTGTTTTTGGTTGAAAATAATCAACAGATTTTACTAAGTAACCATATAAGTATTATATATGCTGAATTTAATGATCAAAATGAAATTGAGCATTTTATATTAGGTGGAAACAAATCTAGCGAACCAATGATAATTATGTCTAAATATAGAACAATCCTTCAAGAAACTTATAAAAGACTTATAAATTCCCTTTATTTATCTGGATACGAATCTGCACTTTTAAATTGGCCATTTATTATCCAAACTGATCAAACTCTATGTGAATAAGAGAATAAAACATAATTAGGAAATGACACAAATGTTCTCCATGAAAGGAGGATATATTTTAAAAAATAATAAATTAAAATGAGTTTTTTTTTTTTTTTTTTTTTTTTTTAAGGATTAATATAGAGAAGAAATTAAACTCCTTTATTCTGATAAAAAAATTTTTGTAAATAGTTTAATGCATTTTAATATTTTTATTTAATAAATTTCACTAAATAAAAAAATGGAGAAGTTATATACGTATGTAATTGTTTGAAGGAATTTAATTAATTTATTAGAATTATTCTTTTTTTTTAAACAATTTTTTAATATATTTTATGCTATGAAAGAGTTTTATTTTTGTGATTACTATAAACATTTTTTATCCTTAAATAACATTAATTAATTTTTTTAATTTTTAAAAATTATAAATTAATAGTGATAAAAAAAATAAATAAATTATAAAGATCACAATATATAAGAGATTAATTATATGTTTTTCTTTAATTATTAATGTGCTTTTTCAAACATCATTTTCGTTATTCATTTCTCTTTTTGGTCTTAAATAGTTCAATTTCAAGCCAAAAAAAAAAAAGAAAAAAAAAATGTATTTCTAATTATATTGAATATAATATATTACATTAGTAGTTAGAGGATATTTATTTTTATTATTCAAAATAGAAAAATGATCCTTGATTTTTTATTTTAAAAGAATACATATGAATTTACATATATATAAGCTTATATAAATATATATATTTTTAAGAAATATCTAAGCATGTTAATGCTGTTTATAATTACGTTTAAAATTATGAAGAATAAATATATGCCTATATAAATATATATATATACATATTTTTTTTCCATTATTAAAAGCTTAATTTTTTCTTAATTTTAAAATCGTTTTTAGAGCTTATATACGTGTGAATTAAATCTTTTGTGTTACACACTTTTTTTAAGTATAAAATTGAATAGAATATTAAGTATTTTTATTTTTCCATCATTTAAAAAAAAAAAAAAAAAAGAAAAAAATAGCATTGTTTTTCAATGAAATCATTTTTCATATAACAGTAATATATAATTTATAAAAAAAAATGAGAGAAATATAGGTTTCAATTATAAAAAATATATACATAAGAATATATATATGATTTTTTTTTTTTTTTTTTTTAATTTCTTCATAAATTATATTAACAATTAATATAGTATTAAGATAATTGTAAATAAACGATATACATTACAAAAAAAAAATATATTTAATTTAAAATTTTTTTTGATCTATGATATTCATATACTTGTGATATATATGAGGTTTCTTTTATTTACATTTTATTTTACAGATTATTTTTTTTATAAGATAAAAACATCAGAGAAAAAATATTTCTTTTAAATTGCGTTATGTAAAAAAAAATTGTTTTACTTTTTATAGAAGGGTAATGAAAACAATATCCAAAGAAGATTATTTTTTTAAATATAAAGAAAAAGATGATTTCATTTATAATCAATTATACAATATATTAACATATCATCCTTTTAATGAAATTGTAATAAAATATAAATATTCTAAAAAATTTATTTCTCTTTTATTTTATTTATAAAAATAACATTTTTTTTTTTTTTTTGAAATGTTAATAGTATACATAATTTATAAAGTAAAAACGTAATTTTAATTCATATTTTACCATATTTTGTTTTTTATTGAATTTATTAAATAACTTATTGATTAAATTTTTTTCAACATTTCTTTTTTCATCCTAAAGTTAGAATATGAAAATGGTGATATTTATATAGGAACAACAGAAAACAAAAAAAGACAGGGGTATGGTTATTATATATATATGGATATTAAGACTATATATCAAGGGTAAAGATAAAAAAAAAAAAAAAATAAAAGTAACACATTATACTTATGAAACATCATTATATAATGATTTAATTGTTATTTTTATCGTTATCATATAATATTACTATTATTATTTATTAATATTCATAATAAGAAAAGTAGTATTATTATTTCTGTCATTATCATAACCATCATCATTATTATATATTTTCTTGTTATACATTTTTTTTTTTTTTTTTATAAAGACAATGGAAAGAAAATGCGAAAAATGGTTATGGGACTTTATATAACAGAAAAGAAATTATTTATTCAGGTGATAATTAAAAAAATATATATTTTTTCTTAAATTTTTTTTTTTGATTCTTGTAATATTTTATTATAAATATTTTAAATAAATAATTTTCTTATAAATATTTTAAGTGAATTTAAAACATTTTTTAAATAATTTAGGTGAATGGCTAAATAACATTTCTCATGGTTTTGGTAGCAAATATAGAAATGGGAAATTATTTGTTGGCTCATATAAATATGGTTTAATGAATGGTGTAGGAATATTAAGAAAAAAAAATAGTTTTAATTTTTGTTTATTTCATTCCAACAGAAAAAAATGTTTAATTAAAATTTCTAAATATATGGATATATATCTATATTTGTATAAAAATAAAGAAGTTATTTTGAAAGAAAAGTTATGTAACTTTTTTCCAATATACATAAACAAAAATATGCCTAAAATTTTTCACAAAGAAGTTTTTTTCCAATTATTCAGTATACATGAATCAATTAGTAACTTTTCTTCACAGAATTATAAAAATAATGAAAAATCCGACAATGTATACTCAAATGATTTTTTAAATTATATAAATTGTGATTTACATTTAAGATATCAAAATAAAATAATAAGAAAAACAGATAAAATGAAAAGAGTAGATAGTAACAACAATAATTATCATAACCATAATAATAGTGTTGATAATAATAATAACGAGAATAAGAATAGTAATCATAATAGGAATACCAATAATAAAAACATTACTACTCATAATAATAACAAATGCACATTTCATTTCTTTAATAGCTCTTTAAAAAACAGCTTAACTTTAACGAATTTAAAATACGCAAATGAAAAAAGTGAAAGTTCACATAACTTATCAAGTGAAAGTGAACAAAAATTAATAGATAATCCTCCACTTCTTAATAATATTTTGAACAAATATAAAAATTCAAAAAACAAAAATTTTCAAAATTTCAATGAAACTCTTTTACTTTATAAAACGGATTCGCATAATAGTGACTCCTATATAAATCTAACCCTTAGCAGCGATTCTGCTTTTAAAAGAATAAAAAAGAAAAAAAAAGTAATTATTCCATATTTTTTTTATAAAAAAAAAAGTAGAAAAATGATAAGAAATAGAAAAACTAAAACAAATAAAGAAAAATATTATAAAATACTAATTGGTGAATACAATAGAGACCCTCCTAAGTTAGAAGGTAGTAATAACTCTTCAAAGTTTTCAAATATAAGAATACATAATGAAATTAATATTTTAAAGAAAAAAAAAAACAATAATATATTAAATAATGATTTTAATAAAAAAAATATTGAAGAATTTACTACACACATAAATCTTTTAAAATATTTAAAAGAAATAAATGTAAAAAAAAAAATAAAATGTATATATCAATGGGAAAATCATCATATTTCAGTCTTGCTTTATTTCTTTAAACTTGAAAAATATATACATTCTTTCAAACATAACAATATTAAAGGATTTCATTTTTTTATTTTAAGTAGCAAAATATTAAAGAATTTAGGAATATATAGTAATGAACATATTTATTTTTTTATGAATCTTATTAATACATTTAATAATATACATAATATTTATTTACAAATATTAATAAAATGGGAAACTATTAAAAAGGATTCCTTATTAACTTATAATTCTATAAACAAAAAAGAATTTTTTATTATTAAACATTTTAAGGGGAACTCTAATATATATGTTTGTTGCTATCAAAATACTCCTGTCTGTTTAAAAATTGTTTCTAATGGAAAGGAAATACCATCAAAAAATTATAAAAAAGAAATAAATAATATAAAATATATAAATAAAAAATATATAGAATACCTAAAACATAATAAAAAAAGAATTCAAATGAACAATGAAAAAAAACATATGATGTATAGTGATGAAGAGAAAAAAATAAATTATTTAAATAAAGAAGAATATGAGGAAAAAAATTCTAAAATAGAGGAATGTAATGAATATAACAGTTTAAAAGAAAACGTTACTCCTGATTTCAAGAATAATTTTTTGAATGTAGCACATAATTTTTTTTTTAACAAAAAACTAATTTTTTATAATGAAAAATTAAATGAAAATTTACTTTTCAATTTTAAAAATTTTAAAAATAAATTAACAAACCAAGAAGAGAAAATAGAAGCTAATAAAAATGATTACAAAAAATTTTCATTCAGTGATGATAATGAACAATTTAAAAAAGAAGAAAATCCTTTAAATAAACATAATAATAGCACATTTGAAGAAAATACAAAGAGAAATTCAAAGAATAAAAAATATAAAAGTATATTATCCCCAAATAATGATTTAAAAAATAACAGTGATGATAATGGAACAGGTGATTCCTATGAGACATATAATTTTGCAGAAAAATTAAAGTGTAGAATGAATTTTATAAGAGAATATTTTATTGTCTCTAATTTAAGACATCCTAATATTATTAAATATATAGGAAACATTACAAGCAAAAATAAAGAAAAATTCGGGTTAGTTTTTGAACATTTAAAAGGAAATTATTTGTATGACTGTATATATAAAAATAAGCAACCATTAAAAAATAGAAAAATTATTAAAATTTTTTATGAAATTTCAGCTTCCTTACACTATTTACATGAAAGAAACATATGCCACGGTAATATACATAGTAAGAATATATTCATAACAAATAAAGGAAATGTAAAAATTTGTAATTTTCAATACTCATCTATAGAAAGCTTTTATGACTATAAAATTAATTGCAAAAAAAAATATTATTCAAGTAAATGTGAAAGTGATTATTATTTTTATGAAAAACTGTTCTTACCATTACCTTACGTTACATCTATTAACGACATTAGAAGCACTGATATTATGTCACCTTTACTACAATTCAATACAAATAAATTTAATAACATAAGTATTAATTATCATGATTATTACACAGCTCCAGAAGTTTTAAGATATGAAGAATATACAAATAAAAGTGATATTTATTCTTTTGGTATTGTAATGTATGAAGTAATATTTGATACACTACCATTCATTAATGAATATGTCCCTTTATTTTTTTTAATTTCAACATGCTCCCATCAAAGATATATTAATTTTGATATAAATAAATTGAATTCTAAATTTGATTATTCGTTGTTTCATATTTCTATAAATATTATGTTGTTAATTAAACAATGCTTACATCCAATACCTTCTAATAGACCTAATTCAAAATATTTATGTGAACATTTTAAATTTTTGTTAGATTTACTTAAATTTTATAAAATTAAATAATATATATATATGATATTCTTTTTATTATTATTTTTATGAAATTTCATTAATAAATACTATATATATAAAATTTTGTGTTTATAAGCAAACATAGCCATGTATTAATAATTATATATATATATATATATATATATATTTTTTTTTTTAGTAATTTACAAAAACTTTTACAATTCGTCATTTAGCTTTTATTTTTATTATTTTAAATGTATTATGAAAAAATATTATTCTTAAAATTATCTTTTTATAAAATAAATTTTTAAATTTTAACTTGATTACATATTATAAAAATTATACTACTAAAATTTACTTTTATTTTTTGTGTTAATGGGCAACATATATAATAAAAATAATATTAGTAAGTTTTTCACACATTTTAATAATGTTAAATTTATACTAGACAAAAAAAAAAATTAGAAACATAAATTTTAAATTCTTAGATTTTTGAATTTAAAGATAGCTAACAATAAATATTTATATATATATATATATTTTTTTTTTATAGCATACTTCTTTTATAAGCATTCAAAATTTCAAATATAATAAGTGTTAAACATATATATATATTAAAAATAAAAAATATATTCATAATTTATTGATATATATGGATATCCTTATTAACATATGTAATGTTTTATATATATTTATCTTTTTAACTTATATATGACTTTTTTTAAAAGAACTAAAATACATGTATTCTATTTTTTCTTCTCGATTTATCAGCTTATATTTTTTATGTAAAAATATTTAATTAAAAGTATAAACTATTAAATTATATATTAAAGCAATTCATTAATATCCATTATTTAAAAAACAGAGAAAAAAAAAAATTCCCTTTTCTTTTTACATCAAAAAAAGAAATGTTTTATTGAATAAAAGAAAATGAATGAATTTATTTATTCTCATTTAATAAATAATAAATATTAATTATCCTTAAAAAAAAAAAAAAAAAAAAAAATGAACTTGTATATTTTAATTTATTTATTTTTTAGTTGTAATGAAATATAAAATAAAAAACTATTACAATTAAGATATAATATTTCCAATAATTTATATATGATTTTTTATGTTAAAATTCTCCCATAAAAACTTAGAAATAAAGATAAAAAGATAAAATAATGAAAAAAAAGTTCTTAGATATATTATTTTCTTTTTAAAAGTAAATATTCATCTGGTTGATTTAAAAGTTTAACAATTTCAGAAGCAGTAGGTCTTAAATTTGGATCATAGTTTAAGCATAATCTTATAATGTCAGCAAATGGAGAATTTTCAATTTTTGAATGAATACAAGGTGGTAGTTTTTTTGTGAATACATCAACTAATTTTTCATAAATTTGATCAGATTCTTCAAATGTTATAATATAATGTTGAAAAGGAGAAGGTAAATTCATCATTTCTTGAAAAACACAACCCATAGACCAAATATCCCACTTATAAGAAAGTTTTGTGTGATCCAAAAAATTATAATCACTACTTTGTTTTAATGGATGACATGTTAATAATTCTGGTGGGGCATAAATCCATGTAGCACCAGAAACATTAGTAACAATACCATCTTCACATTCTTCTGCGTCACCAAAATCACATAAATGAATGTTCCAATCATTATCTATAATAAGATTTTCTGGTTTTATATCTCTATGTATTATAACATCTTTTTTATTTTTTATAGGTGTATGTAAAAAATCAATTACTTCTGCTAGTTGTCTACACATTTTCAACGAGATATCTATGCTAAGAACTTTTTCATCTTTACTCATATTATTTTTAATAGTATGTAAGTCTAATCCATTAACTAATTTCGTTACAAGCCATATATCAAAATAGCTATGAATTATACCACCACATAATTTAATTATATTGGGGTGATCACATTTAGATAAAATTTTCCATTCATTTATAGATCTTTTCGTTAACCCATATGGATCTTGTCTTGCCATTTTATCAACTGGGATTTTAACAGCCACATTTAATCCTTTATACCATCCTTTATAAACTACACCAAATGATCCTTCTTCAATTATTGTATATTTCATTTTACTACTAAATTTATTTGTGTAATATTTTGTTTTTTTCTTTTCTTTCTTTAGTTTTCTATTTAAATAATCTTTGTTATTTATTACTGCTTTATTTATTATATAATCTGCTGTACTAATTTGCGTGCAATTATTTACTGAATGTGCATATTCGTTACTTTTATCATAATAAACATCAGTCTCCTCATAAGTTTCAAAATACAAATCTTCTGATTTAATATATGTTGATAATGATTGTAAATATTTTATATCATTTTCTAAGCTAAGTAATTGAGTCTTTGACATTCTAAAAACATTTTCATTTTCTTTTTTTTTAACTGTTATATCACTACTATTAGATATATATTTAGCATTCCCTTGTTCAATATCATATATATGTTGTTGGTTCTCATTTATTTTATTATTATTAAACACAACTTTATTTATATCATTAATTGTACCAATATTAGCAATACTATTTTGAGAATTTCTATTTTTAGTAGTATTATCTAACTTTACATTCATAATATTCTTATTTTTCGATGATTTATCAGAAGAAATGTTATTTTCATTAATTCCATTATAACTTTCTATGTTTCTGTAACATATATTGTCATTACTTAATGAATTACAATTTACTATATCATTTATATTATTTAAATTATTATTTTCATCCACTAATTTTATGTTGTGTCTTTCATTATTTGTTAATAAATCTTCGTTGTATTTTGATATAAAATTAGTGTTAGGAATATTATTTGCAATTTTAGAATGTATATTATATATTTGGTTATTTGAAATAATATTTTTATTATGTAATAATTCATCATAATTTTTATTTTTTACATCATTAGTTAAAAGATCGTTATGTACAGTTTGAATAGAGTCCTCTTGATTTGCCTTTTTATCATGATTTGTTATACCACTATAATTTAATGAATTTTTCATATGTATTATATCATTAATTTTATTATTATTAATTAAATTGTTATATTCATAATGTTTTTGTATTATATTATTATTAAGATAATAAGAGCTACTCATACTTTCCTGATTTTTTTTTTCTCTTTTCACTGGAACACCATTATGAAGGTACTTTCTTTCTTGTATATTTTCATTTTCATTTATTTCTCCCTCATCTATTTCATCATTATGTTCATCAACTTCTATTTCCTCATTATGTTGTTCTAAAATATTTCTATGTTCATTCATTACTGAATTTTTAAACAAACGTGTACCTCTATTACTTTTTAAAGTTTGTGTTATATTTATCTTGTTATTGCAACTGTTAATCTTTACGTTATTATTTTTATAAATTATATTATCATTAAAGTTCATATTGGTAATATTTTTATTATTTGTTAAAATATTTAAATTACTGTAAAAATTATCTTTAAAATTATTTTGTACAGTATTATTATTATTATTACTGTTGCTATGATTAATGATATTTCTAAAATTTGATAAATAATTAATATTTTCATTATTTTTACTATTTTTATTAATATCATAATTTTTATCTAACACATTTTTACTGAAATCACTTTTGCTATTTAAACAAGCATTTCTGTTTTTACTGTTATTGAAAAAAATACGTTCATCTAAAATTTTATTTGTATTTATATCATTTATTTTTTGGTTAGCTATATTATTAAGAGAAATACAATTTTTTGTATGGTTACAAATATAAGTACCTTTTGGATTTTTCATTTTATTCATAATATTTATATTTTCATTATTACATAAAATTAAATGATCATTTATTTTTTCTATATCATTTGAATTTTGTTTACAGACAGTGTTGACTGTATTATTATTATTATTATTATTATTTACTTTATTTTCAATTGATATATTTTTATGATTATATATATTTTCATTTTTTTTTAAATTTATATTATGAATATTTACAGAACTAATATTGGATAAATAAGAATTAACATTATTTTGAACAATTTGTCTACCATTATTTATAAAATTATTTATATTTATATTTTTATTTAAAATAATATTGCCTATATTATCATTAATATAACTATTTAATTTGTTGTTTGTTACTTTCGGATTTATATTATTTTTATTATTATCATTTTGATTAATTACTAAATTATTTTTTGATTCTAAAACATTGTTATGAAAGCAACTTTTTATATTTAACAAGTTCATATCAGTATTATCCAGATGTCTTCTTTCATCCATATCATTAGTACTGTTGTTTATATGTTTATCTATTTTCATATTTTTATTATCATTAATATCAATAATACTTTTATTTATTACAATATTTGAATTATAATCATTTTTTATAACATTATTCATACTATAATTATCCAGATTAATTGGTTTTTTGTCTGTACCTTCCATGTTATACCCATTCGGTAAGTTTGACATTTTATTGTAAGATAAAAACAAATTCACTTTATCATTTGTCTTATTATCACAAAGAATATTTTTTCTATGTGATAAATTAATATGTGAGAACGTTAAGTAATTTTTGTTTTCATTAATTTGTGCATAATCAAAAGTGTTTGTGTTTGGATTTACAATATTGTTAATAGATCTATAATCTATCATATTATTATTTATGTTTTTTACATTATTATTATTATTTACATATTTATTTAAAGGAATATTTTGTTTGTTAATTAGTAATTTATTTTGATTATATGTAATGGAATTTATAATATTATTATTTTTCATTAGATTCATAGAAACATTATTTTTATATGAATTGTTATTATCAATCATATTCATATTTTTAACTGGATTATTCGCTAAATTTATGCTTTTTAAAATTTCATCTTCAAAAATTTTATTTTTATTTACGAAATTATTCAAATTATTCATGTTTCCTATGTTTCCCATGTTATTCACATTATTAAAATTATTTATATTTTTTAAACTGTTCATACTATTTAAAATATTCAAATTATTCACTCTGTTTAAATTATTCATATTATTAACATTATTTATACTACTTAAATTGCTTACATTACTTATATTATTTAAATTGTTAGCACTATTTAAAATATTGATAGTGTTAACATTTTTCACATTATTTTCATTATCTACATTAAAATTATTATTAAAATTATCTGTTGTAATAAAATTTTCTTTATGGTTAACAGCATTATACTTATGAGTAGCATTAATCGGATATATGATGTTTTCTTTTGAATGCATATTACAATTTGTAAGAATAATATTGCTTTTTGTCACAACTCCAGATTTATTTTGATCAAATAGATTTAAATTATTATTATTTTTAATATTTAAATATTTGCTTTCATATATGTTTTTATTATATATAGGATCATAATTTAAATTTCTTTCATTATATAAAATATCATTTTTTTTATTCAAATAATTGATATTATCTAAATGGTTATCTACATTATTTATATTATTATTGTTCATATTTCCATTAACATTAACATTAACATTAACATTAATATTTTCTTCATTTATATTAGTTAAATTATAATTATTTACGTTATTATCAATATTTTTGTCTATATTATTAATATTTTTTGTGTTATTTATATCACTCAAATTACTATTTATACTATTATTCAAAATGTTTATATTTCTCATATTATCTAAATTATTTTTTGTATTACTTACGTTATTCATAGAAAATGAAAAATTAGTATTGATAAAATTATTATTCATTATACATTCATCATTATTATTGTTATGATTAACATAAGATAAGTTATCATTAAGACTATTATTTGAAGATATCAGACTATTTTTTAAACAATCATTATTTAAATTATAGTTCAAATCATTTAACTTAGCATCTGAACTATTATTTACTTTTTTATTATAGTTAAGGTTATTACCTAATATATTCCGTTGCTCATTATTTATATCAGAATTGAAATAATTGGAAATTTTTTCTTTTTCATCTATATTAATATGTAATTCACACTTCTCTTTTTTTACCTCATCATTATCATCTTCATTGTTACATTCCTCACTTTTAATATCTATTTCATTATTATTATTAATAATTATATTAGTATTATTAATATTCTTATTAATATTATTAATGTTCTTATTAGCAATACTACTCGAATTATTATTAGTATTGCTAATATTAATATCGTTATTATCCATATTATTATTATTAACCTTATCATTTATATATGAAATATTTTTATAAAAAACAGTCTCACCATTTTGATTATTTATTTTTTCATATGATATATTTTTAAAGTTTACATCTAGAGATAAATTATTCATATTACTATTCAATGTATCTGTTTGATTTTTTTCATTTATTTTTTTTTCATTTTCAATATTTATAATATGCTTATAATTAATGTTATTATTATCAATTCTATTTATAGAATTATCATTTATTTTATTAAAGTTGCTAATCATATTATTATTTGTATTAATGAAATTATTATTTGCATTTATAACATTATTATGTGTATTTAGAAAATCATTATTACAATCCTTATTAATAAAATTATTAGAAATATGTAAAAAATTATTATTTACATTATAGCTATTATTCATATTAGTATTATAATTTGTATTTATATTATTAAGGTTATTATTCGAACCATTATTTAAACTCATCTGATTTTCCATAGAATTAGTATTATGATTTAAACTAATTAAATTATCTAAGTTTCTCAAGTTATTAATTTCTCCTTCATTATAATTTTTTTCATTTTTATTAATATTATTGTTTTTTAAATTAGTGTAACTTTCATTATAAAAATGAGAATTATTTTCTTCCATATTCCCATCTTTTATATTTTGTTCCTTTTCATATTTATAAGATGCATCACTAAGTTGTATGTTATTCCCACTATGTAAAAAAATATTTTCATCATTCATTGTTGCTTTATTAATATTTTCACTCAAATAAAATTCATTATTTTCATTACAATTTATAATTTGATTTAAGTAAAGTTTATTTTTATTAAAAACATTATTATTAGTTTCTTTTTCAAAACAAAAATCTTTGTCTTCACATTCATTTAAATTATTGCTTATTTTTTTCTTTTTTATTATCATATGATGACTGTTATTAAGATTATTACTAACAGTATGTTCATCAGCAATTTTATCTTCGATAATATTTGTATTATTTACGTTACTTACATTATCTAATGAATTAAGATTGTTTATATTATTTATATTATTCATTTTGTCTATATTAATACTATTATTATTATTATTATTATTATTATTATAAGATCTACTATCTGATACAACAAATTTATTTGAAAAATCAATATTTTTACTTGAATTACTCACATCATTATTAATTTCTGCATTATTTGAATATGGAAAAGTAGGAGAATAACACTCAGATGATTTTAATGAATCATGTATAAACGTATTTTTATCAATTATGGTTTCAACAGGTAATTTAAATTGAATTTTTTTTAAATAAGAATTTTTATAACTTTCATTTAATTCATTAAAAACATTTTGATTATTTATGAACATATTTGTATTTTTATTTTCATTTACATTCAATTTCATATTTTTTAAATAACTATTATAATTATACATATTAATTAATTTATTATTATTATTATCTATATTATTTATATTATCATACATTTTGATATTTTTTGACTGAAAACTTGGCTTGTAATGATTTTCAATTTCAATAACATTTTTATCTTTTATAATATTTTCCATTCTTTTATTTATAACATTAAGGAAATTTTTATAATTTTCCTTCTCTTGTGCTCTTAGAATTTCTTCTTGAGAAATCCCAGATGATATATTAGATTGTTTTATGACAAAATTTTTTTTATCAGAATGATTGGAATTAACATGATTAAAATTTAATATAGATTCAATATTATTAACTCTAGGTGTACATGATAAGTTTACAAATTGAGAATAAGATATTTTTGTAGAATCATTTTTTTCCTTTAGTTTATTACTATGAACTTTAAATGATATTTTATTATCATTTAAACTATCATTTAATATTTGTTTTTCATTAATATCATTATCAAATGCAGATTCATGTAAAGAATCGTTATTATAAACTTTATTAGTATTATCTTCATTTAAAATATTATCATTAATTTTTAAATTTAAATTATTATTATACTTAGATATTAAATTACTATTAAATTTATTAGAAATTCCTTTACTAATATTTATATTTTTCATTTCATTCATATCATTTTTAATATTATTTACATTTTTTGTGTTATTCAAATTATCATAATTATTAATGTAATTAACTCTTTGTATGTTATTTATTATATTTTCTTCAGATATTACATCATTTAAGGTATTATTAGAAAAATTTTTATTATTATGTAGAATATTTTTATGCATAAATTCATTTATACATGAGTTGAAGTTATCATTTTTTTGATTTCCATTTGAATCTATTTTATATATTGAATTTTTTGTTTCAACCATTGCTTTACTATCCTTTAAATGATTTGTTATAAGATTATAATTAGTTTCATTATTACTTTTATTTGTTATTCCTATTATATTACTGGATGTATTATCTCCCCCTTTATTTTTTATATTTTTATTTATATAAGCATTTAAATAATTAATCATATATTCATTATTAGTATTTTCAAATTCTCTTCCTCTTTTTGAATAAATATTGTTCATTTTTAAAAATTCATTTTCATTTTCTTTTGTAAATGGTAAGATATATAAATCATTATTCGAATACTTTTTGAATGGTATTAAATTAGAATTATTATTATTATTCACATAACTTTTTTCATTCAATGAATTTAATTCATTATCATAATGTGAAAATATTGTATTACTATTACTATTTTCTTGAAACACATCTACTTTTTTTAACTGATTCATTTTCTAAGGGGAAAATAAAGAAAAATTACTTTGATATTCTTTAAAAAAAAAAGATATAAAAAAAAAAAAGTGAAAGAAAGTATATATATATATATACATATGCATAAGTATTTAAATATTAACAGTTAAAAAGAAAAAATAAATAAATAAAATTAGATAATTCTAAATATTTTTTTTATATGTAAATATAAATAATCTATTAGAAACTTTACAATAAAAAAAATAAATATAATAATGTTATATATTTATAATTAAAAAAATAAAAAGACTGAGTAAAAGAATAAAGTAAAAAGAGTGATAAAAAAAGTGAAAAAAAAGAAAAGAAAAAGAAAAAGTAAAGAAAAAAGGAAAAATAATACAAAAATAAGATTTTTTAATAAATATTTAATTAATACTTATATTTATATATATAATAGTAATCTCTAGTATATTTACTTTTTAATAAAACAAAAATTAACTTGACAAAGACTTTATTTCTTATATATAAAAAAAAAAAAAATAATTAATTTAAAAAAAAAAAAAAAAAAAAAACTAAATATAATAAAAAATAAACATAAATATTTAATAAGGAAAATGTATAATTATAGAAAATGTGTTTATTATTCTTAAATTTAAAAAATTATTTTGTGCATATATAGCAACTCCTGAATATAAATAGCATAAATTTTTATTTTTGTAAATGAATAAAGACATATACATTATATTTTTTTTTATAATTCATCTTTTATAAAAATTAAAAAAAATTTATAAATATTTTTTAGAAATATTAATTATAAAATTAACAATATCTTTATATAGATCTATATTTACATAAATATATATACAAACATATATATATTCTTTTTTTTTTTTTTTTTTTTTTTTTGTTTTGATATT